GAGACTCTGCCTGGCACAGCTGCTCAGTCCAGTTCAGCTGCACAGCACATGACAGACCAAATGATACCAACCAGAGAACCATTTAGGTTAGTAAGTGTTTGGCTTTTTTTCCCTTTTTAACCTTCTACCGTGAACCAAAATGGCATTTGTGCTCTTTAGTGCTTTATTAAGAGCCAGACAAAGGACTTGGAACTTCACTCTCCAGAGGATTTTGGGTTTTGCAGTATTACAGGCATTACTTATAGGGAGAGCTTGGTTTCAGCTCAGTGTGAGGGTCTGCTCTGTGCAACATGTAAGAGAAGAAAGGGGGAATCTGTGTCTGGACACTGGACACTTCTCCCATGGCACTTGTAAGCTGGGCCTGTTTTTTCTTACAGTAAGAAGAAAAACGGCTCCAACATCAGCTTTTCTTTTTCTCTTGTTTTGTACAGAGGTAGCAACTCTTGTAAAATGGTTTCCCAGCAGAGCAGGTTCTTGTGTTTTTATACTTTGTTATTACCCGTTATAAGAAAAAAAAACCATAATGGGGCAGAGGGAGAAGGCAAACCAGATATTCAGAAAGCATCCACCACATGCAAAAAGTAATCCCTCATCTCTTCCCTTGCTGTAGGGACAAGAACCTTTGTATATGGTGTACTTAGAATTACCAGCAGTTAGAAAGGCAGTAGAGAGATACCTGAAACACGTGAATATTCTGCAGAATCCCAGCTCTTCTGCAGATTCCAGCCTGACTTCAAACCCTGTGGGATGACATGAGAGCTAATGCCCTAAGCATAAATGAAATATCTATTCAGCCATGTAGCCATCCAGCAGTTTTTATTTCATGCCCTTCACTGCATGTAGTATGTGATCACATTTAAATACAGCAAGAATATACTTGTCTGGATATCAAACAAATAGTTTTACTTCCCCCCATGCATAGCAAGATGGTTTTATTATTATGCATTACATATAATATTATATATAATGAAAATTGCAGTCAAACTCTGCAGTTGAAAAGCAACACCTGAAGTGCAGGTGAAGCTGTGAGTAATAAGCTGCTGGAGTTCCTGGAGAGCAGCAGGCTCCTGGAAACTCTACCTAACACAGTTTTCCACTAAGCCAATACGATATCCAAAGGTTCTGGGTTTAAGAGGGGAGGGATCTATTTTGTGCTGCCGTGAAGAGTATTAAGAGACTTGGGATGTCTTTAGAAACTGGAACCTAATCAATATTAATATTAAAATTCCAGCCTCCCAAAATCTCGGGGAATGCAACCCTGCTATGCTCTGTGGTGCATCACACAGACGTGCAAGGCTTGAAGCTGCAGCCAAAATTCTCAGAAACTTAGTGAAACACAAACTGAGGCTTAGAATAGGATTTACTTTTGCTGCACTGAGAGGTCGTGCTAAATGCAAACATGTCTCTGGAGACAATTTCTTCTGTGTTATAGACTGATAAGCAAAGACAACATCAGAATAATTAAATCCAACTTCTTTTAAAAGAGATCCAGCATAAACTGGCTAAGGACTCATTTTCACTTGTTTGTTCCTGGAAGATCAAGTAACTGCTCTGCACACTTCTAAATAAACTGGCATTACTCAGCCATAACATATCTATTCATACCTTCTTAAATTTTCCCTCTTCAGAGGGACAGCAAGAGATAAAGGCACCATTTACACTTCAGAATTACAGATTAGGTCTAAGTGGAAGTTATATTTGCATGTCCTTCACTGATCATCCACTTGGGAATTAATTTTACTCTTTGTGAGTGAGAATGCAAGTGCTCTCATGCTTTTCAGACATTACTATCACTTTTCTTTTTTTTTTCCCTCAGGGAAGTTTCACATTCAACTTCTTCTCTATTCTGAAATATTTAACATGAATCTCTGCAAAGACCCCTGACAAACACACTGCTCTTTAAACAGTCACAGAATCTCAACCTATCTTGAATGCTGCCATGGTTTCAAGTACAGTCTGGCAGTACACAACTTACAGCTCAGTGTCCTGCCACATTTTCAGTATGTAAATCTGATATAAGCATCTCTCCCACCTTCATGTTTGTATTTCCTGGTTGCCCTGCATTGTATTTAATGCATTTAAAAATTGCTTCATCTGAAATATTTCTGGTGAAATGAAAACAAATCCTGTGCCCCTTCCTCCTCTATTTCTGCTGCTTATTAACCCAGGGTGATTTAGGACGTCCTTGAGCCTTACAGCAACTGAAATTTATTTTGGGAGCCGTGTGCTTAGGGACATGTGGAAGAGGTTATTTATTCCAAAGAGCCATCCAGCAATGATGATGTCATAGGAGCCAGCAAAATACCATATCAATTCCGTTGGGTTGCTCCCAAATCACTGCCTGTAGTTTCCTATATGTGGTGGCACCTGCTGATATACAGGGTGCCTCTCTATAATGGGTATATGTACTGCTCATTTTTCTGATAAATACTTCAAATTAACTTTTGTCCTCTTACTTTGGGCCTTCTTGAAACCCCTGTTGGCAAACTTTCGCAGTTTCGTTTGCAACAGGCGAAGGTCTCTCGTAAACAAGTTCCATCTCAGTCCAAAGTGAAATGCAGTTCAGTCATGGCAAGCTGAGCTCACAGGCAGCTCTTTGACTGCTTCCTCTCCACATACAACAACAGATGACAGATTTGTGAATAAAGTGATCTATAATGAGGATATTTTCCTAGAGAATCCTGTGCAGACGTAGTTGAGTTTGAAGAAACTCTGCTTCAGGTAGCTCACGATTGAAGCCTTCTTCAGAGCTGTTTCTAAAATTCATGAATTTTAGAAAGGAATCCCAACAGGTCACCTAAGCCATCACCTTCTGCAGGATAGCTACATTTGTTCCTCAACGGGGAGTTGAGGATTGGGATAGGATGCTTTTTATGGGCTGAAATACAGGTTTCCTATGCAATCCTTGGGAGATGAATAGCACAGCACAAGCAAAGCAGTATAACCCCTCTGCTTCTCATATGGGCACTGAGTAGCCTAAAGACTGCTGATAAAATGCTGTAGGGCCGTGCATTGCTGGACTGAAATGCATATAAAGGTGTCTGAAGTGTTTTTTTTTCATGGTTTGACTCTCTCAGCATCTGATTCAGTGGGACTCGAATGTCTAAGGGAAGATTCTGTCTGAGTACTGAATTAGGCTCTTTACATTACTGAGCTATTTGTAAGCAGATTGTGACATTCTGAAATTTCAAATTATGCATTATTACTTGCAAATGTTGCTGTGCAATATCCCTCCTTGCCAAGAGCTCATAACCAGGCTGCTGTGAATATCCCACCTGCACATTCCCCCAAGGTGGGCCAGTTACAGGACTCAGGTGATGTGAATACCTTACGCTCACTGGTGGCTGAACAGCACATTCCAAGTGTGTTACAAAGAACTGCTCTTTCAGTGTGTGCTTTCTGCAAATATTCAGATATTAAATTCTCCCTCTGCAGGTACAGTGCTACATAACTGGAACATTCCCTTCAGAATGCCTATAGAGTATCCTGCTGTGATTAAGTCCATAACTCTTTCAAAATTCGAGGGTATGTTCATAGAAATATCACTCAACACTTGGCTGGAATAAGTACAGGAGTGGGGTTGTCTGCTAGAGAGGTGGTCAGAATATTATTGGGACATAATGGGAGTAATAGGTGGGAAATAGTTACTTGCTACCTGGGAGCTTGGGGAGGAAAGAAAGTAAGTGTAAAGAGGGACCACACTTTCAGTGTAAGGGTGATTAGGTCCTTTGGTGATGTTGTCTCAACAAGTCCAATCTGCACTGGGTGAGGACCCACATACCTTTGACACTTGTCCTGCATGATATCCTGAAGCCAGAAGAGGTCCCACTGGTCTTAAAGCAATTTTATTTTAATTTACACCAAACTTTCCTCTATATCTCTTTCACTAGGATACTACAGGTAGTCACTGGTATTAGTCACTTGCTCTAAGCAAACACATTCTTTTAACGTGGTCTTTCCCACACTTTTCTTTGGAAGCTCTTCTTTTTTTTTCCCCTTCAAAATGCAGTTTCCTACCAGTTCCTCTTCTCCATTCCCTTAACTTCAAGCCAACAAAGGAGATTATATCCCACATAATAGGGCAACGTCATCTCTAGGGAAGAATTTGGCTCTTGTGTTCCTCTCCTCCTTCTTTAATTCTTCTATTTTTATCTTTTCCCTATGCCAGTTCCTCATCTGTTACTCCTTTGCTCTCATTCACTTCTTATTCCCTTCATAGATCAGAATCTTTCCTATATCTGCTACAGGCTCCTTAAGGCGTCCCTGTATGGTAAAAGGGTCCTATTAACAACAGAGATTGTTTGTATGACCTAATTAGATTTCCACAGAGACAGCCTTAATAGGCCCTCTTGGTTTTTTGGATTGTCTGCAAAGTAATAGTGCAATGGCAGTGTTCATTTTGCTTGGCTGTATCAGGCCATATATCACATCCTTTTCCTTCCAGTCCTTCAAGTAAGCTTGTCTCATTCTTATTTTGGTTTCAAATTATAGATTATAAATTTCACTTCTCTCCACTTTTTCCTCTATAATTTGACCCCCAGCTGTTGAAACTGCTCCGAGTGATTCCCCCTGCCCACCATCCAGCCCACGGTTTCATATGAAAGACAGCCCTGGCTTTAGGAACAAATGACGTCCCTCGGACCAGCTGTGTCTAATAAAAACCCAACCTCCAACTCTCACTCCCCTTCCTCAAAAGGATAAAATTGATTTGAAAGTGCTGATGATAAGATACATGGGAATACAAAATCTCCTTCAGTCAACAGACCAAAGCTGTGCACTGTGACATCATCGTATCCAAAAAGGAACGATGCTGTCAGTTCCTCCACTGCCCTATAACTAGAAGTTATTACACTTGTCCTGTAGAAGGGATATTTGTTCATTTAATTTAGCCTTGTTTAGTCTGGCAAGAGCTATTTTCATTCCTGAAGTGCCACAGAACACTAGAAAATACCAGTTCCCCTCTAGGGTCCACTAGAATCAATCCTTGTTGTGAAAAACACTCATATTGGATGGGCACTTGAAACAGTTTTCCAGTCGTGCTGCAGGATGCCTAACCCGGGAAAACAAGGTGGCTTTCTGCTGGAAAAGAGCCTGAAGCACCTGCTGTACACACAGATGGGGCTGGGAGGTGGCACGAGCCTCCAAGACTCACTCTCACCTGCTGCATGTGCTGGCAGGTACAGCCAGGGCTGCCTGCACTGGGTGTGTGACAGCACAGCTGTGCCAGGGCGGATCTCACACCACTCCATTGCCTGGGCAACCTGCACAGAGAGCAGATATGATCTGCAGGGCTGAATATTCCAAAAATCTTCTGTTTCCATGTCTTTTCCTCCCATCAGCCAGAGCAGAGTATGTCTATATTACTTACTGCTGCAGGCAAAAACAATGATTTCTTTTTTTTTTTTCCCCATTTTCCACTGGAGATTTATTCTGTTCAGCACCTCTAAACTTCTTTAAAAATATGCAGCCCTCTTTCTCTTCACCCTTTTCTGTGCTCTGCTTTGATAGTTTGGGATATTTCTGTAAACCTATTTGATTGAAAACATTTAATGGAACTCTGATACATAACATTATTGTAAGGAGGTTTCTGTTATATCTCAGTCTCAGTCACTTTAGAGATGGCACTCTGGTTTTTAGTTCCATTTCATCCTTTGGTTCTCAAATAAAACCAGCAGATACAGGACAGCTCCAAATGATCTGAGAAAAACAGTCTGGAATACTTTTTTAAAGTTCAGAAGAGGTTTCTTGTTTTAGTTATGGAATGAGGAGATTTAAATGCAAATTTAAGGCCTTTGTTACAACCATAGAGGGCGAAAATTTTGATGACTGAAAGAAAAAAATATATCAATGCTGTATTCAAATTTTGAATGAAGGTTGCTCTTGCCCACTCCCACACCTGATTCTGCGGGTGTAACCCTTCTCCATCACTGAAAACAGTTTAATTCCAATGAACTCAGTGGGAGTCAAGGTTACCTATCACCTTCCAGAAAGTTCTAAAGATCTTACAGAAGTGAGGTCTTACTTACACACAGGTGTGAGCAGTCTAGGGTGTGGAAGATAAGTCCTATTATTTGTAGTCAGCATTGAAAATCTGCAGAAATTTCTAACTTCTGTAGATATCTGGGCAAATGCCCAGATTGTAATTACTTAAAGGAGAATGTACAAACCTTCTGATGACCACACACTGCAACACCCAGTAGTGCAGTATCACTGATCAACGACAATAATTTGATTAAATAAAGAGTCTACAGTGTGGCACAGCAGCATAAACTTCAGAACAATGAGAACCCCTGGAGAAGTATTTTAATTTTTTCTGTAAACACTGATTTTAGTCCTATGAAGGTATTTTATGAGGAATCATCTTGATTCTTTTTATGCTCCTGAGTTTTTGTCTTTATTATCTGAATGCTTAAGTCTTGCTCTTGCCAATATAAATCAGGAGAAAGGGCACTCAAGCCCTTGCATTGGAAAGAGAAACTAGACCATTTTCTGTCTACTTCATAGTGACAAATTCATTTAATTAGTCCAATTTATTTTATTTGACACAATAAGTCAAATTTTTTTTTTGACACAATAAGCCACAAGTGAGTTAAACAGAATGCCATGAAGCTGGGTTTGGGAAATGATTGTCACCCTCATGTCCAACCTGAGGACAGTCCCACATTCTCCTTTAATAGGGTCCCAGTGCTGTCAATCAGCAATCCCACCTGGGATTTTCCTTGTGTTACACCAGCACCCACATAACCCCCTAAAAAACCCCCCTCATGACCCCTCAACTTTGAAAAGAACACACAAATGTGCAGCTCATCTTAAATAAGCCTTGCAGTATGGAAACCATGAGGTGCACAGACTGGCTTTACTTAAGCAGAGGACACGTACTGCAAAATAGTGGAGTAAATCATCACTCTTTTTATATTAATTGGATTATTTGGAAAGTCTCCTTGAACAATCACGTAAGGCTTTCAGAGCAGGGTCCACAATATCGTTGTGGAAGTGCCCAAGGGCAGTTTGGATAAACTTGGAGCAACCTGGCCTAGTGGAAGGTGTGGAGGGTGGGTGGAACGGGACAGTCTCTAAGGGCCCTTCCAACGCAAACCATCCCATGATTCTCTATGACGCCATGGGGGATGCTCCCCTCAACCCTGCCCATGGCGTCCCTGGCGCTGGAACACGGTCCTGGCGGGACAGAGGTGACAAGTTACCTGCTGGGGAGGCGGCGGGCGCGGAGCTCGGAGCGGGGTCTCCCTGAGGCGCGGAGGGGCACGAGGCCCGGGGGCGGTGAGGCGGCCGCAGGGAGGCGCCCTGAGGGGCGGCGGGGTACGAGGGGCGGTGACGCGGCCCTGGGGCCGTGGGTGAGGGCGGAGGGGTCACCGCGGGCACGGCAAGGGCGGCTCCACAAAATCCCTGGATATTCTGCGTGGGAAGGGATCTCTGGGCATCCCCCACTCCAGCCCACTGCCCAGGTAGGGGCAGGTGACACAGAGATGTGTCCGGTTGGGTTTGAGATGACTCCATAGAGAGAAACTCCATACCCTCCATGCACAGCCTGTTCCAGGGCTCTGCTGCCCTCAACATAAAGAAGTTCTTCCTCGTGTTGAGGTGAAGCTTCCGGTGTTTTAGTCCATAGCATTGGCTGCGAGGCGTGTTACAAATGCATCTGTAACTTTATAAACACTTTGAAAGTTGTTTTGAAGCCACACACAACTTCAAAAGTCATTTGTGTTACAAGTGACATCGAAGCTCTTGGTTGTGCCCTCTCAGAATCAAAATGCAGTTCAATGCCTGTTTCAGTGAAAAGCCTGAAGACTTGATGTGGCACTTAGTGCCATGGTCTAGTAACCATAGCAGTAGTGGATCAAGGGTTGGACTTGATGATCTCAGAGGTCCTCTCCAACCCAGCTGATTCTATGATTCCATGATTTGGTTGTCTCCCAAATCCTGCATTTCCAACATTATGTTTGTTTTTGCTTACAAAGGTGGACAGCATTCCTCAAAGTGCTGGTTTTCTAGTTCAGCAGATCCATACCTTTCAGGCCATGTGTTTTTCTCCCTGATTCCCACTGTGTCCTCTGCATCCTGGGATAAAATTGCTCCAGAGCCTTTGGTGGCTCATGTGGGTTTTGCTCAGTAAGGCAGGACTGGCTTCTCCAGGAAACCTGTGATTATGCACAGTCATAAATATATTCTTAGTACAGTTGTTTAGTAATAACTTCATTGTTGTTGTTTAGTGATAACCCCGGTAGGGTTGTACAGTGACAGGGTAAAGCTCCAAGGGGCTCAGTGTCTGTGAGACCTGGGGTAAGAATTAATATTTCCCATGATGAAACATTAAACAGAAGAAAGACAGGGTAGTGATGAGAAGCTGGAGGGGTTGGGCAAGCCAGGTGTGGCCCAACAAATTTATTTATAGGAGAAGCCTGGTACTTGTTTCACATAACATTTTTGAATCTTACTTGAAGTAACATCATTCCTTATATCTTAATTACCTGTCATTTCTACTGTAAATGAAGCTTTGGGGAGTGTTTATGCATTAACTACAAAGGATTTGTTTCTATAAATACCCTGATAGAAGACTCATTGTTACAATTCTAAGTGGAGCCACAGCTTATATTTTAACAGAACCATTTGTCAATATAGTTTCTACGGATTTCCTCATTCCTGAGGTAAACTGGAAGCAAATTGACTGGTGTTTTGGTTTTTTGTTTGTTTGTTTGTTTGTTTGTTTTTACCCATTTTTAATGCATCTGTATTAGGGTTGCAGGGGTAACTGTCTCTACACCTGGCCAACACCAATGTTCTCATGCAGCTTCTAAGTATAGGCAAGGTCTTAGTCTTCCATCCTAAATTTTCACTGTGTACCTGTGCTAGTTATGAAATTAGTCCAAACACATTGTTCTGGAAAGCTAAATGGACCTCCTTTTGATGGAAGTGGGAATTTTGGACTGATTTGCTTGACAGTACAACTTCTAATCGCAAAGTGTAGTGTGAAATTTTTTAAGGAAGGAGGAAAAAACATTCAAAGCTGAAAGCCCATGTTTTTTGTGGTTTCCCAAACAGTTGTGGCTTCATTATCAGCTGTTTGTTAGTTAAGAGAGTTGTTAAAAAAGAAAACAAAACTTCTACATGGGAATTGTTGCTGTTTTGCTTTAACATTTGGAAAATATTCCTCCATATTATATTGAGAAATATTATATTTCTTCAATGTTAATAAGTTGTTTGAATTTAGAGGCTCCAGATATGTCAACTGAAATCCATTTAGATTCTGAGTCAGACATAGAGCCAATATGTCAGTTGCTTTAAAAAAAGGTTTAAAGACAGTGTAAAAGTGGGCTTTTCTATAACTAATATTCCCAGTTCATTCTCAAGGTGGGACAATCAGGTAAATAAGTAGTTTAGTATGGTGTGAACAGTGCTAAGAACAGCCCACTGGGAATCATTCCCAACAAAATGATAACACGAATCAAGGCCTGGATAGCACCTATGATCTAAGAACACCCCATGTGTCGATGGGGAAATTCCTGGTGGTTTTAGCTTAGTCTGTAAACTTAGTCTAGACCAGAGCGTGGTTGATCTCTGCTGGAAGAGCTTGGCATGGGCTGGTGCCACGTGGTTCCTGCTGTGAGCCCTGTGGCTGTCACCTCATCCAGAGGCAGGGCTTTATCCCAGTCTTACCCCATATCTCCTGCTCATCCAGAGGCAGAGCTTTATCCCAGTCTTACCCTGTATCTCCTGCTCATCCAGAGGCAGAGCTTTATCCCAGTCTTACCCCGTATCTCCTGCTCATCCAGAGGCAAAGTTTTATCCCAGTCTTACCCCACATCTCCTGCCCCGAATGCCTCGGAATAGAATAGCCCCTGTGTGCTCCCGAGCAGCCACAGCGCCCTACAGAGACTCACATGTTCTCCTGATTATCCAGCACACTTAAACTTTGAGTTATAAGGGTGACCCCAGCCAGTTGGCTGAAAAAATACGTTTGACATCATTGAAAATGTATGCTGCTGCTGAAGCATGGATTTTAATTTGAGGAAAACGTCGGCCGTAATCTAGCATACATTAAAAAATATATCTTTTTATTTCCATATGGGTCACGTTAAGGAAAATATTAAAAAGAAAAAAAAAAAGCCAACCCCTATTATATGAAGTCTCATTAAAGCAGCCTGGAAAAGTTTAGTCAATTTACAGGCTATACATCTTAATCTCCCCAAATTACAGGAACGATAGGAAAACGGGTGGTTGAGAGGGAAAGCGGGCCCAGCA